GCTGTGATCATCTCCACCAGAGGAATTGTACTTGGTGCAACCGCAAAGTTCAGTCCCCTGGCAAGAATCTCTGTCTCCGGCTGGGTGAGCTGTCTGTCAGATAAATTCTTCACCCACTTTTCTGTCTCCCTGGCATGTAATTGACTACTGGAGTGTTGTCCTACACTGAATGTGTTGTTATTGGAATAGTGATGGTGTTGATGAGTTATTAGTAAGTTAAACTTATTTTGTTGTCGAGTCTTGGACTTGACATGCTGTGCTAAGCGTGCCTGATCTGTACAGTCCAACACTTGCTGAAGTATGGTCTGATCTAGACACATAGTTAGTTTATGTTTAATATGCTCTTCTTTGGCCTTCAAGGCCTCAATAGTAAAATTGGTCTGTCTCACCCGTTCATTCAGCAGCTGGGTTTGTGCTTTCTGAAGGATCTTGGTTGCCCGGTGCCCGCTGACCTATGATTTTAGTTCCAGGCTCTTGGGAATGATGCCACTTTGTCGACATCTGAGGTTGAATCGCAAGTGGTTCCTGTAGTCTGCCCTCTTCCTTGCTGTTTTCTCAAACTCTCTTACTAGTTTGAGGCAATCCTGGCCAAAGTGATTCAAAATATCCTGATGCATGCTCAATAATCCAGGTAGAAAAATCCAAAAAAGTTCAATCTGGTCCTCTGGACATTCAAAAAAACAAAAGCAAAACAAAGCAAAAAAAAAATCTAGAAACGTTTCGTCTCTCATCCAAGAGACTTCCTCAGTCTGAGGTGCTGTTTTCAGCTCAGTCTCTTAAATAGCACCTTCTTAGAGTGGATCAACCAGTTTGCTGCTGACAACCAAAACCAGCAGATCACATGCTCAAGAAGGACCATCAGCCTAACAATGGGTCATTAGCATTAGTCTTCCATTTTGCCACACTCCATTTTAAATGACCCCTGGCCCAGTGCAAACGTCTGAGCTTGTGGAGCTTGCTTAGAAATGGCTTCCTCTTTGCACTATAGAGTTTCAGCTGGCAACGGCGATGGCATGGTGGATTGTGTTCACTGACGATGCTTTCTGGAAGTATTCCTGAGCCAATTCTGTTATTTCCTTGACAGTGGCATTCCTGTTTGAGGTACAGTGACGTTTAAGGGCCCGGAGATCACGAGCATCCAGTAGAGTTTTACGGCCTTGACCCTTACGCACAGCGATTGTTCCCCCTTACGCACAGCGATTGTTCCAGATTCTCTGAATCTTTTGATGATGTTATGCACGGTTGATGATGATAACTTAAAAGTATTTGCTATTTTACGCTGGGTAACACCATTCTGGTATTGCTGCACTATCTTTCTGCACAACAGTGGTGGAATTGGTGATCCTCTTACCATCTTGGCTTCTGAGAGACACTGAATCTCTGAGAAGCTCTTTTTATACCCAATCATGTTGTCAATTGACCTAATTAGTGTTAATTGGTCTTCCAGCTGTTCATTATATGCTCAATTTCCTTTTTACAGCCACGTATTTCTACTTGTCCCAACTTTTTTGGGATTTCTTGACACTGTGAAATTTTGAATCAACATATTTTTCCTTTAAAATGTTACATTTACTCAGATTAAACTTTTGATCTGTCATCTATGTTATATTACGAATAAAATATTGACATTTGCCATCTCCACATCATTGCATTCAGTTTTTATTCACAATTTGTTTAGTGTCCCAACTTTTTTGGAATCCGGTTTGTATTACAAAACTATTGTAAATTAAAATAACAAATTATATTTGATCATTTAGTTGTAACGAATTGTTAACAATAGTCAAAACAAATTGGGTTCAGTTGCTAAGCACGTATCATTGAAGACTGATAAATTTGTTTATGATGGCTTGTGTTTTATTATCTAGTCAGAAAGGTTCATACATGTATGTTACTTTTCATTAAATCTTAGCAGTTTTATTTATTTTTTAACTTCTTTTAATAAAAACTTGTTGTGCCTGTCCTTTTTTTCTCCAGTGGCATGAGAACAGGGAAGTTTTGGTTGGATTATTGTTCCTGGTGTTTCCCTTCATTCCTGCCACAAACCTTTTCTTCAGGGTAGGATTTGTTGTTGCTGAGAGGGTTCTCTACATGCCCAGGTGAGTAGAAGTCCAGTACACATATGTTTATGAACACACTGCATTACATGTATCAGACTTTTTTGCCCAGTGTCGAAAGCAAAGGCAGAGTAATGATGTTGTTGCCCGTGTGAGTTTGGGTTCATTTGTCGTTAGCTTTTCCAGCAGGTGAAAAATCCAACAGAGTTATGTCAGGCCTTCTGGACAGTTTCTATTTGTTGACATGTTTAGTCTTTCATCCAAAAGACTTCATCAGTTCAAGGAGCCACAACAAACTTAGTCTTATAAATATCACCTTCACGTAGTGGGTCAACCAGTTTGATGGTGCTCTGATGGTTTCTGGAGTCCGCCCTCTCTCCCACCGACTTGTTTGAGGCAGACAAGTTGGCATCTTTTGGATGAAAGATGAAACGTTTCAACAAAAAGAAACCGTCTAGAGGACCTGGCTGAACTTTGTTGTAGTCAGTTCATGTTCTTTATTTTGCAACACTTCAGTCAACTCTTGTTGTTTTATCTGTGCTTTAGAAAAAAGTTGTTTGACACCACAGAAACGTGCCATCAGTAAAATAATGTTTTGACTTCACTTTCATTTGTTTTCTTTTTTCTCCACCCTCCTTTGACTCCATTTGTTTTCTGCTCGTGGAGCATGGGTTACTGTATCTTGGTGACTCATGGTTTTGGTCGTCTGTGTTCGGTGGCGAGTCGCTGGGGCAACTTGCTCCTTGGTGGCTCCATGTTCCTCCTGCTCCTGCTTTTCTCCTGGAAAACTGTTCAACAGAACAAAGTCTGGCACTCCAGGGAGGCCCTTTTCCTGTAAGTCTGTTCATTCTCATGATTTTGACAATGTTCAGAACTGATTTTTTTCCACACATAAACACTCATTATCTGCACTTGCACAGATGAAACAAAAGTACAGGTCCTTCTCAAAAAAATAGCATATTGTGATAAAGGTCATTATTTTCCATAATGTAATGATAAAAATGAAACTTTCATATATTTCAGATTCATTGCACACCAACTGAAATATTTCAGGTCTTTAATTGTTTTAATACTGATGATTATGGCATACAGCTCATGAAAACCCAAAATGCCTGTCCCAAAAAATTAGCATATTTCATCCCACCAATGAAAGACAAGTGTTTTTAATACAAAAAACGCCAACCTTCAAATAATCATGTTCAGTTATGCACTCAACACTTGGTCTGGAATCCTTTTGCATGAATGACTGCTTCAATGCGGCGTGGCATGGAGGCAATCAGCCTGTGGCACTGCTGAGGTGTTATGGAGGCCCAGGATGCTTCGATAGCGGCCTTAAGCTCATCCAGAGTGTTGGGTCTTGTGTCTCTCAACTTTCTCTTCACAATATCCCACAGGTTCTCTATGGGGTTCAGGTCAGGACAGTTGGCAGGCCAATTGAGCACAGTAATACCATGGTCAGTAAACCATTTACTAGTGGTTTTGGCACTGTGAGCAGGTGCCAGGTCGTGCTGAAAAATGAAATCTTCATCTCCATAAAGCTTTTCAGCAGATGGAAGCATGAAGTGCTCCAAAATCTCCTGATAGCTAGCTGCATTGACCCTGTGCTTGATAAAACACAGTGGACCAACACCAGCAGATGACATGACACCCCAGACCTCACTGACTGTGGGTGCCTCACACTGGACTTCTGGCATTTTGGCATTTCCTTCTCCCCAGTCTTCCTCCAGACTCTGGCACCTTGATTTCCGAATGACATGCAAAATTTGCTTTCATCCGAAAAAAGTACTTTGGATCATTGAGCAACAGTCCAGTGCTGCTTCTCTGTAGCCCAGGTCAGGCGCTTCTGCTGCTGTTTCTGGTTCAAAAGTGGCTTGACCTGGGGAATGCGGCACCTGTAGCCCATTTCCTGCACACGCCTGTGCACGGTGGCTCTGGATGTTTCTACTCCAGACTCAGTCCACTGCTTCCGCAGGTCCCCCAAGGTCTGGAATCGGCCCTTCTCCACAATCCTCCTCAGGGTCCGGTCACCTCTTCTCGTTGTGCAGCGTTTTCTGCCACACTTGTCCCTTCCCACAGACTTCCCACTGAGGTGCCTTGATACAGCACTCTGGGAACAGCCTATTCGACCCCTCTGTTCCCATCAGGTGTGAAAACTGGCTGGGAATCAGTCTTGAAGTTGCATTGTACATTTTTGAAAGTGGAAATCTGAGGACTTCTCCTCTGTTAAGAGATGGCTTTTCCCTTTTTACATAAATTGCTTCCTTCACCCCCCTCCCAAACCATCTGTGTTCTCGGTCCAAAATGTGCACATTTTGGTCCTCAAATGAGTGTCCCTTATTTGTGAGGTGGAGGTGAACAGCTGAATCTTGTCCTGAAGAGCTGGCTCTCCTGTGTTGAGCCATGCGTCTGTGAAGAGGCTGTATAGTTTCTCCAATGTAGAGGTCTGGACAGTCCTCGCTGCACTGGACCGCATACACTACACCACTCTGTTTGTGTATGGGTGTTTGCTTAGATTTTCTCAGATCAGTTTGAATTCTAAAAACATAATACATAAGTACTTTTACAAAGAACTTTCCCTCTAAAAAAAAAAAAAGAAAGAAAATTATAAATAAAATTTCTGTTTACTTTAAAAAATGTTTGCCAACTGAAGGAAACGTCACTCTAAATCAAGGACAGCGAAAAATTTGACATAAAACAATTCAATTTAATTTATTTCTATAGCGCCAAGTCACAACAGAAGTCGTCTCACAGCAATGAACAGAAATATTCATATATAAAAATAATAATTTAACATTATTTATCTGAGGAGCAGATTGCTTTGAGTTTAACTCCATCACAGAACTCTCATCTTGAGCAAACATGAAGGCGACAGTGGAAAGGAAAAACACCCTCATGAGGAAGAAACCTTTAGCAGAACCAGACTCAGGACAAGCGGTCATCTGCTTCAACTGACTGGGTTTGGTAGGATCAGATACACAATGGCAGGTCAAGAATCACATGTTAAGATAAAAATAATATCAAATGAAAATATTCAGTTTTAACAATTTGTCCTCTATTAGTCTAAGCATGACAACATACGAAGCCGACCCTAACTATAGGATTTATCAAAAAGGAAAGTCTTAAGCCCAGTCTTAAAACTAGACAATGTGTCAGCCTCACGGACAGAAACTAGAAGTTGGTTCCACAAGAGAGGAGCCTGATAACTGAAAGATCTTCCTCCCATTCCTCCCTATATGTATCACATCTATTTATGTGCTATGTATGCTGTGGTAGGTTTTTGATGCCTCAGACAGTGCCCTGTCTAGGACATGGTAAATGGTAAATGGACTGTACATGTATAGCACCTTTCTATCTGATCAAGATACTCAAAGATCTTTACACTACAATCTGTGCCCTCATTTACCCATTCATACAGCACTCTACTAGATCTCTACAAACTATTTGAACAAATCATTCTAAAGAGACTAACAGAGCTTTATCACATTCATACACCGATGGGACACACATCAGAGGCAACAAGGGGTTCAGTGTCTTGCCCAGGGACACTTCGGCATGTGACTGCTGGTGGATTTGAACCCCCAATTCTTGCATTGGAGGACGACTGCTCTAACCACTCAGCCACAGCTCCCCAAAGGTCTGAGAGATCTTTTTTATATCGTTTCTCCTTATGTTTTCTTCCCTTTTCTCATCTAAGCAAAAATATTATTCTGATAAAAATAGGAGGGCCCCAGCTTCATGCACTCCGCCCATCTTTCAGACGGCTGTACGTCAATGTTCTCGTTGTATCTCGGTGCAATGACAGTAAAGCTTATTCTGATTCTGATTCCATTCTGCTTTTGCTCTATGAACCGCTAGTGTTAGGGTTAGGGTAGAGTGCCTTCTCCGGGTCGGGGAGGAGGTCCTGCCCCAAGTGGAGGAGTTTAAGTATCTCGGGGTCTTGTTCATGAATGAGGGAAAAATGGAGCATGAGGTCGATAGGCGGATAGGTGCAGCGTCGGCAGTGAAGCGGGCGCTGTACAGGTCTGTCGTGGTGAAGAGAGATCTGAGTCAAAAGGCAAAACTCTCAATTTACCGATCGATCACGTTCCTACCCTCATCTATGGTCATGAGCTTTGAGTTGTGACCGAAAGAACAATATCCCGGATACAAGCGGCCAAAATGAGTTTTCTCTGCAGGGTGTCTGGACTTTCCCTTAGAGATAGGGTGAGAAGCTCATTCATCCAGGAGGGACTCAGAGTAGAGCCGCTGCTTCTCCACGTCGAGAGGAGCCAGTTGAGTTGGCTCAGGCATTTGGTTAGGATGCCTCCTGGACGCCTCCCAGGTGAGGTGTTCCGGACACGTCCCACTGGGAGGAGACCCAGAGGAAGACCCAGGACACGCTGGAGGGACTATGTTTCTCGGCTGGCCTGGGAATGCCTTGGGATTCCCCCAGAGGAGCTGGACCAAGTGGCTGGGGAGACGGAAGTGTGGGCCTCCCTACTTAAGCTGCTAACCCTGCAACCCGACCTCGGATAAGCAGAATGAATGGATGGATGTTTGCACAACAATTTCTTCTTCCTACTTATTTTATTATTTTACTTTCTCCCTGTTATTTTTCAGTTCTGGTATTCAGACTCTGCCTCACAATGCCAAAATCCACTACAACTATGCTAACTTTCTTAAAGACATCGGCCGGCACCAGGAAGCCATCTACCACTACAACATTGCTCTCAGGTGAGATTGCCAATAAGGATTGAATACACCAGTACATCTCAAGGAAAGGGGCAGTGTTTTGATGACCAAAATGTTCATATTTTATTTGGGTCTGATTAAACATTTTAAGCTGACACAACTTTATAAATCTTTTTCACTTACACCTATTTAAATATTCAGACGATCTGGCTGAATTAAAATCCTCCAAGTTCCAAATATAACTGTTTGATAAATAGTTTAAACTTTATCTAAACTCGTACGAATTTAAACCAAAATAAATTGTTTGTTTTAGATGAACAAACATTAATTTATGACTGATTAGTTATTTCTTTATTTTAGATTGTTAAAGTAATAAGTCCAAGTAATTATTTTACAGCTACTTCATCAAACTAGTCTAACCAGGTGGAGTCAGGTCCTCAGTCTTTTGACTAAAAGATGAAACATTTCAACAAGAAGAACCCGTCCAGAGGACCTGACTCCACCTGGTTAGATTTATCTACCTGGATTATTGAGCATGCATCTCAACACTTCTTCAAAATAGTTTTCTCCAAATTTTTATCTTCATTATTTGTGTTGTCAATTTTTAATGTTGTTTATGATTCTTGTTACGACCCGGCTCAGCCAGGAAAAGGGGAGGTAACATTAAAACCAGGTGGAGAATAGTTTTGAATAAAAGTAATGATTCATTTGTTCAGTGAAACAAAATTTAACAAAAAGAGCGTACTTTCAAAGTACTAATTAAAGATATTTTACAACTATGTTTTCTTAACAAAGGCAATAACAAAATTAAAGTCAACAATTGTGGTAACATATACTGCCTGGCAAAAAAAAAATAAAATCTCCACCTGGATTTAACTAAGCAAATCGTTATGAGCCTCCTATTGGATCATCACTGCATGGACCATTATGTTTCAGCTGCAACAAGTTATTTAACCACAACTGGTGCAATGAGTTGCTTCTCATTTCTTCAACTACCGTGTTGAAAGACACATCACTTGGTCGTGGAAAAGAAGTCAGTCTGTTTGAGAAGGGTCAAATCATTGGTATCAAGCAGAGAAAACATCTAAGGAGATTGTAGAAACTACTAAAATTAGGTCAAGAACTGTCCAACACATTATTAAAAACTGGAAGGACAGAGGGGACCCATCGTCTTCGAGGAAGAAATGTGGCTGGAAATAAATCCTGAATGATGGTGATCAGTGATCACTTAAACACTTGGTGAAATCAAATGGAAGAAAAACAACAGCAGCACTCAGAGCTGTGTTTAATAGTGAAAGTAAGAACAACTGCACCAGCACAATGTGAAGAGAACTCAAGGGACTGGGACTGAACAGCTGTGTAGCCTTAAGAAAACCACTAACCAGTGAGGCTAACTGGAAAAACAGACTTCAATTTGCTAGGGAGCATAAAGATTGGACTCTGGAGCAATGGAAGAAGGTCATGTGGTCTGATGAGTCCAGATTGACCCTGTTCCAGAGTGATGGTGCATCAGGGTAAGAAGAGAGGCAGGTGAAGTGATGCACCCATCATGCCTAGTACCTAGCCATCGATGCAAGATCTTGGTGAAAAATTAATGTAACACTGGATGAAATAGATCTTGTGAGATTGTAGAAGCTTATCGAAACTATGTCACAGTGAATGCATGATGTAATCAAAGATAAAGGTGGTCCAACAAAATATTAGTGTGTGACCTTTTTTTTGGGGTGGCTACTTGACACCTGAAGTTTATCTTTTTTCCATCGACGTTCAGCTCTTCTGCACAGGCGTCTTGCCTCTCGTGTAGTCTCATTTACCCAAAGGTGGGGCATACGTTTTTGATTCCTGAGCTTTAACGGGGCGACTGAGTCCAGGATCTGTACACACGCCTCCTGATGCTGAGAAAGCAACTCCTTTGTAGTAAGACCCGCAGAGAGTTCAGAGTCTGAAACAGAATTACTAGCAAAGATGGAAGAGAAGAGTGTGGCGGTGGAAGGGTTAAAAATCCTACAGGGCTTGGGTGTGGGGGGATGTGCAGGTTCACAAATCAATGAGGTGTTGAATAAAACCGGTTTGTGGTCGGAACAAACAGTGTCACCAATTTCTAAATCAGAAACAGACAAACCATGTGTTAAAACTAAGTCTAGAGTGTGGCCCTGCTGGTGAGTCGGACCAACAACACTCTGAACAAAGTTAAAGGACTGGATGAGGTCTAGAAAGTCCTGAGCTAATGGTTTATCTGGGCAGCACACGTGGATATTAAAGTCACCTAAAATCACAACCCGATCATATTGGAGCAGAACACCAGTTAGAAAGTCAGATAGTTCATTTAAAAACTGTTTATGGTATCCGGGGGGTCTGTAAAAAATAGCACACAGAACTGGGTTGGAGCGGCCCAGCTCACAACAGAGCAGTTCAAAACTCGAATAATTAGCTGAACCATGGAGCTGTCTACAGTGCAAATGTTTCTTAAAAACAGCCAATAATCCTCCACCACGACCAGTTGTCCTTGGAGCATTGAAAAAAGAACAATCCGGAGGCAGTAATTCCAGAAAAACACTGAACTCACCAGGGCAGATCCAAGTCTCAGTGATGAAAAGAAAGTCCAGTCGGTTGCAGCAGAAAAAGTCGTTCAAAATAAAAGTTTTATTACCCAGCGATCTGGCATTTATCAGGGCCATCCTCGTAGAATCCACCACAGGATGAGATGGTTGCAGTGTCCAGTCCAGCGGCCTCAGATTTGCAGAGATAGATGCGCGCCTCCGGCAGGAAACCCAGCCGCGCACGGGCCCAGTGTGATGATGGGACCCCGACAGCGGGACCAGACAGCGCGCCACAGGATCTGTACAGTGCCAGGAGCAGAGGTGGAAACGCTCACCATCAGCTGGAGAGGATGTTTCAGAGGCAGCCAGCTGGGCTTTCAGTTTCACCAGCCGGCCAGCACGTTTTCCACGGCGTCTGGAGCGACGTCTCCGGGGAGGCAGGTGCGCGCCTCGCTGCAGGTAAGCAGGCACGTCCGCCAGCAGCGGGGGGACGGGGGGGGGGGGGG